GAGCAGGGAGCCCGATGCGGGGCTCGATCCCAGGACCCTGGGATCATGACCTGAGCCGAAGGCAGATGCTTAATGACTGAGGCATCAGGTGCCTCTCATGTGAAATTTTTTAATTTTAAGATCTTGATGTAGTATTTTGTTTGGTATTAAATTAGAATCATATGATTTTTAGATACAGAAGTAAGTTTAAGATCAATCTAATTTAGGGATTCTTTTTTTTAAAGATTTTATTTATTTATTAGAGGGAGAGAGAGAGCAAGAGAGAGAGAAAGCACAAGCTGGGGGGAGGGGCAGAGGGAGAAGCAGATTCTCCACAGAGCAGGGAGCCCGATGAGGGGCTCTATCCCAGGACCCTGGGATTATGACCCAAGCTGAAGGCAGATGCTTAACCGACTGAGCCACCCAGGCGCCCCTAATATAGGGATTCTTAACCTGTGCATTCTGTAGAACCTTAGAATTCACTAGCGGCCTTTGGGGAGTCTATGAACACCTTGAAATTGTGAGTAAAATTGTGTTTGTATGTTTATATTTGTGTCTTTCTGAGGGGAAGGATTATAGCTTTTATTGCTTCTCAGAGGGATCTATGACCACATAAAAGTTTAAAACTGCTGGTTAATTCATCTATTTTAGTTTATAGGTAAGGAAAAAGACATGCAGAAAGGTTAAGTGATAATGTCCAGTGTCACATGGCTATAATACATGTTTAGTATTAAATTTATTATTAAATGCATATACTTTAGTTTTTTTTTTTTTAGAGAAAGGGTGCGTTTGTGCGAGTGATGGGAGGGGCAGAGAGGGAGGAAGAAGGAGAGGAAGAGAATCTCAAGCTGAGTCCCTGCTGAGCCCAACATGGGGCTTGATCTCATGACTCTGAGATCATGACCTAAGGAGAATCCAAGAGTCGGATGCTTAACCAGCTAAGCCACCCGGCATCCCATTAATTTAGTTTTGTACTCCATTTAAATCAACATTCTTTTTTTTTTTTTTTTTTAAGGATTTATTTGAGAGTCAAAGTGTGGGGCAGGGAGGCAGGGAGAAGGGCAGAGGGAGAGAGAGAATTTCAAGCAAGACTCCCCGCTGAGCTCAGAGCCCAGCATGGGGCTCCATCTCACGACTCTGAAATCATGACCTGAGCTGAAATCAAGAGTCGGTTGCTTAAGTGACTGAACCACCCAGGTACCCCTAAGTCAGCATTCTTAAGAAGTAGTATTAAGATTACATGTGTGGGGCACCTGGGTGGCTCAGTTGTTAAGCGTCTGCCTTTGGCTCAGGTCATGATCCCAGGGTCCTGGGATCGAGCCCTGCATCGGGCTCCCTGCTCTGCGGGAAGCCTGCTTTTCCCTCTCCCACTCCCCCTGCTTGTGTTCCCTCTCTCGCTGTCTCTCTCTGTCAAATAAAAAAAATCTAAAAAAAAAAAGATTACATGTGTTTCTTAAACTAAGAAACCACGGACTAATTTTATTTATTTGCTGAAATTAGCAGTACCTCTTTTTTTTTTTTGAAGCACTACCTTAAACATTATGCATTGATTTTAGGTCAGAGTTATTGTAAGCATTCCAGAATGTTTAATGATAGGATTATCAATCTTGAAAGATTGGAGTTGTCTATACTTACTTACTGTTAGGAGTTTGCTGCTGAAATAGTAAGATACAATTTTTTTAAGTTTTACTTATTTAAGTATGGGGCTTGAACTTACAACCCCAAGATCAAGAGTTATATGCTCCTCCAACTGAGCCAGCCAGGCACCCCTAAAACTCAGTGGTTTTAATTTAAAATTTGATTGTTACAACTCAAATAACATATAAAGAGAAAAGTGACTAAATACAACAGCAATGTAATTAATTGTCCCGATGCTACTGTTTCTTAAGAATAGAGTTCAAAGGGGGTATGTACACCGCCCCCCCCATAGAGATGGTTCCATATCTCAGAGGCCTAGGGGCTGAACAAGGTTGCACAGTTGTTTGATTGGTCCAGTACACTGCACAGTACTTAGTCTCTATTTTAAGCTACATAGTATTGGAGTTTGTGCTTAGAGAGATTTTGAAATTCAACCAGAAAATACCTTTTGGCCTGTTCTGGGACTTTTAGGATGAGGCCACATCACCTCTACAGTTAGATGTCAGCCCTTTTGCCCAGCTAATGAGCTGTCTTCCAGAGGGAGGTTTGGACATTGGCATCTCCTCTTCCCCAGGTTCCCTAGTAGGTGTACTGAATGATGGTATGAGGCTGGGATTCAGAAACTCCCTAGAGGGGGCGCCTGCGTGGCTCAGTCAGTTAAGCGTCTGCCTTCGGCTCGGGTCATGATTCCAGGGTCCTGGGATCGAGCCCCGTATCGGGCTCCCTGCTCAGCGGGGAGCCTGCTTCTCCCTCTCCCTCTGATCCTTCTCCCTGCTTGTGCTCTCTCTCTGTGTCTCAAATAAATAAGTAAAATCTTAAAAAAAAAAATTAAAAAAAAAAAAAAAGAAAAGAAACTCCCTAGAGTAGAGCCAGGATCCCAAGGGGACACATGGGGGCATATTCCACATAGAACCTGTTATCATCACAGACCCTAGTGAGGCCTTTTAGGTGCTTAACAGGGATTTGAGCCAAACAGTAGGGTAGACCTGAGGACGCAACTCTGCCTGTTTTTTTTTTTTTTTATGTTCTGGGACTGCTTGTTCCTTTTTTTTTTTTTTAACCTAGCTTATGTCTGAATCCTTTCCCTCTCTATTCTAACCAGCTAAGGTGAGGAAAGCCAAGTCTAGTGAAAAATGCATTAAGACTGAGCAGGAGGAAGAGAGGGTCTTAGTCTAAGCTGCACATCTTCAGTCTTCTTCAGGCAGGGGCAGTGACCTAGCAAGAGGCATCCCTAATCTTTTCTTACTACAGAAGCCTCATGGGAGACAAATGAGAGGGAAGCAGTACAAAAAGAGAGTAACATCAAGTAGAGATCAGGACCCGGGACTGTGGCCTCATAATAAATATTTTGCTCATATTCCTCCATATCAATTCCGTCTCAGGTGGAATGGAGGCGGGGAGGGGAAGCAAGGGACTGGCAGGCGACACTGCCCAGACCAACATGCCACACCTCTGGCAAGATATAGAAATGGCAGAATTAAATTAAGAATCATACTTCACATGCTATTTGTAACCCGATTATTTTGTTTTTACCTAATTACATTTTACAAAAATTTTACCACGTCCTTCAGCCATCCTGTATTTCATGCACAGTATCCTGTAATTTATATTTACTAGTATTTTATTTGTCGACTCCCCCATCATTGAACATTTTTTTTTTTTTGCTATTTTAAATAATGTAGTAAGAGCCATGTGCATGAATTTTATAATACAATACTGATTAATTGTTTGGGATACATTTTTAGAAGTGAGTTTACTGGGACGACTGGGTAGCTCAGTTGGTTAAGTGTCTGCCTTCGGCTCAGGTCATGATCCCAGGGTCCTGGGATCGAATCCTGCATTGGGCTCCCTACTCAGCGGGGAGCCTGCTTCTCCCTCTCCCTCTGCTGTTGCTCTTGCTCTCTCTCTCTCTGTGTCAAATAAACAAATAAAATCTTTTTAAAAAAAAACAAAAAAAAGAAGTGGGTTTACTGAGGTTTTGTCTTAAAGTTGGTTTTATTGATTTAAAAAACAGCCTACAACATGAGGCCATATTGGAGTCAGGGCTCCGTGGGGTCAGAACCACATCTGCCTTGTCCACCCACCCCTGTGCATTCAGCATTTGAGAGATGCAAATTACAAAACTATGTGTTGGTCTAGACAGGTTGCATGGGAATAGGAAACTCCAGGAGAAATATTGCCAGTAATATAAGTTCATCCAGTGGATGAGGGCAAGCAAGCATTCATTGTTCCTTGTACCCCGTTTACAATTTCTTTTTCCTGTGTTGTGAAGCACTTCAGGGTAATGTTTTTCTTTTATTTCACCAGAGGGCAGTGTTCCAAGGATTATCACAGGAAGCCTTGTCTGCCTGCATTCACTCGTTACTTGGAGCATCAGAGTCTATCAGCAAAAACAAGGTTTGATGAAGTGTTAGGTGAATAATATTGTGGAATACAGCATTTATTTTTAGGCACAGAAATTTAAAGCCGTTTTGGCAGTAGGATTTGTTTAATATGATTTAATTGAGGCCCTTTAAGAGATGCTAGAACAGTTGACCCTTGAACAACACAGGAATTGGGCTCAGTTCCCCAATCCTTATAGAACTTTTGATTCCTCGAACACTTTACTAATAGCCTGTTGTTGACTGGAAGCTTTACCGATAACATAAACAGTCAATTAACACCTGTATTATCTGTTATACGTATTATGTACTATATTCTTACAATAAAGTAAGCTAGAGAAAAGAAAATGTTATTAAGAAAATCATAGGGAAGGGGCGCCTGGGTGGCTCAGTCGGTTAAGCGGCTGCCTTTGGCTCAGGTCATGATCCTGGAGTGCCGGGATCAAGTCCCGCATCGGGCTCCCTGCTCGGCGGGGAACCTGCTTCTCCCTCTCCCTCCGCCTGCCGCTCTGCCTACTTGTGCTCTCTCTCTATCTCTCTGTCAAATAAATAAATAAAAGTCTTTAAAAAAAAAAAAAAGAAAATCATAGGGAAGAGAAAATACATTTATAGTACTGTACTGTAAAAAATTGACATATAAGTGGACCAGTACAGTTCAAACCATGTTGTTCAAGGCTCAGTTGTATTTTATTATAGTGCTAAATAAAGACTACACTGTATAAAGGAGTGCCAGCTTTGCTAAAAAGTGCTGAAAGTGGTACTTTGGTTATAAATTCTATAGGGTAGAGGTTTCTTATTATAGCCTTAGCAACTGGGAAGGTAGTAGACTCCTGTTTCCCTGAAAGACCAAAGCAGTGTTTATAAGGGAACATAGCAATTTATAATCATCCCTTCAGTGATGGTTTTAAATAGTTGAATGGCCTCACTTGGAGGAAATCAAGTCAATCTGGAAGACAGACGATTGTGGCCCATGGGTTGCGTGGCTAGAAGTAGTTGCCATGACTTTGTGACTTACAGTTTTTAATCAAGAAGGGATCTGGGGCTGAAGGCTGCTCACAGGGCCCCTGAGAATTTTTTATAGCATGGTCAAAAGTGTTGCTTTGTTTAACTTTCCATTAAAATACATGTTGCGTAAAGGGAGGAAGCTGTGGGGGCTATTTCCAGGGAAACTTTTTGCTGTTTGGAGTATTCAAACCTTGTGAACCTTTCTGGACTTCCAGATTTACAAACTTGATTTCTTACTTCAAGGCTTTAGATAAATTAGGGTAAGACAAAACAAAACAAAACAAAAACAAATGACAAAAAAAACTTCCTGCAAAAGAATTTGGGATTCTGTTGCTAGGAAAGCTGTACCTCTGATTGCGACCACTGCATTCTCCCAGTCATGGAATGGAAGGTTGCAATGAAATTTTCGTATGCTGGAAAGAGGATGGAAAGTTATTTGTAGACGGGCAGATTTAATTTTTAAAAAATATTTCTAAGCCTGAGCTCTCACATTTCTTATAATACATGAAATCAGGAAGCATGTCTAATGTTAGGCAAATGATTAAGTAAATTGTGGCATACTCATAGAGTAGACTGTTACACAGGCATTAGTTTGAAGCAAAAACATTTAACTTAAATATGTTAAGGCAAAAAGAAAAAGGATACAAACCAGATGTGCATTATGACTTTATGTAATGAAAACACACAATAAAACAAGAACATTGAAAGCTTTTGGGTGAATATGGATATTTTCCCTTCTTTTCTCTATCATCTTCTTTATTTTCCAGATTTTCGAGAGTAAGCTTGTATTTCTTAGCGGATAAGGAGGAGAAAATGATCTAATTTAAAAATAAGTTTATACGCTTATGTCTTCTTGTACCACCTCCTTTTTTTTTAAAGGGAGGAGTGAAGGGCTCTTTGATTATTTTGTCCTTACCCTGTGAGGCTATCCTATTTTACGTAACTCTGCTTCCCACATATTACAAGGGGTTTAAGTTTGTGTGAGGAAGTCCTCGATTTTGCAAGCATTAGCTCATTTATTTTTGTTGCTGAGTTTGTGTACTTTTGCCTTTCAAGAAAAAAGTGATTAATGAAAATGACCGCTTAATGTCTTAGCTTCTTTAGGCAAGATTATTATTGCCATACTTAATTGAAGACCTAATATATTAGTAAACTAACAGTTATGGTACTGTTTGCTGGATTATAACAGCTTTAGTAAAGTAAATCTGTATTATACTATTTTTGCCCCTTGGAGTTGTTAGTTTTTTAAAAAATAGAGCAAGTATTCAAAATGTGTAGTGCTTTCTACTTATTTAATGCTCTGTGTTCCAGAGTGCAAAGTGAGTTTCCATCAAATAAATCATACTTATATATTGATTATATGTTTATTTAGAAGGAGGGAGGAGAGAGAGAGAGAGAGACAGACACCGGAGAGGAGTTACTTTGTTTAATAACCCCTTCAAATTTTTTTTTTTAATTTGACAGAGAGACACAGCAAGGGAACACAAGCAGGGGGAGTGGGGGAGGGAGAGGCAGGCTTCCTGCTGAGCAGGGAGCCCGATGCGGAGCTCGATCCCAGGACCCTGGGACCATGACCTGAGCCGAAGGCAGATGCTTAATGACTGAGCCACCCAGGCGCCCCTAAAACTGTTGTTGTTTACTGAAGGACAATTTTATTCTTTTCCTAATATAGGGTAACTGTTGTAAGAAATATTTTCAAAGTAAGATTCTGTCTTGATTAAGCAGCAAGAATGAGTGGATGCAGCCTTGCTCTTGTTAATATACAGACTTTTTTTGGAAGTGAAAGTTATGATTATTCACTGTTTTAGGATTGGAACAGAGCTTTGAGAACTAAGCTTGACTCATAAGACTCTTCTAGATGGGTCCTGCCAGGGCAGATGCAAGTATAGTGACTCTCAGGGTATAGACAGTCAGTGCTCTCTTGGTGGCAGGATAATCCAAAATGGTAACCCCAAATCATTTTTGCATTTGGAAGCTCCTTTTGTGTAAATATGAATATTTCTGATATTCTGGATATTGAAACCACTTTGGCCAAACAGAGTCATGTTACTTGAAGAGAAACTGGAAAGCCACGAGAAGTCAGAGTTGTGCTCATGCTTTGACCTTTTCTTTATTTCCCGCTCCATGCTGAGGTTAGGTCACTTTATCTCTTCTGTTTTTAAACCAAGTTAAAATAGATTTGATTTCTTTTTCTAAATGTGTTACTTTATAGCCTTTGTCTGATTTACTTTCTTGGATTGATGAAGGAGAGTGGGTGACAATGTTAGAGTTTGCAGCAAGATTTTTCCAGATAATTCTAACATGGGTAATATGGGGAGAGTTCATTGTACCACAAAGGAGTATTGATACATATGGTTAGGTTAAGGGCCATAAACCTAGGTAGATTAATGTTGATTAATAACACTGTGTGTTTTATATGTTTTTATTTAATCTGTGATAATACCCATTTTTCTGTCTTATAATTTAGACTCAGATTGATGGACAACTTTTCTTAATTAAGCACCTTTTGATTCTTCGTGAACAAATTGCTCCATTTCATACTGAATTCACCATTAAGGAAATTTCCCTGGACCTCAAGAAAACTAGAGGTACTTCATTGTTCTGGCTGGCACATTTGGGTGTGTTTAACCTGTCCAAATGTGTCAGCAAAGGTTACAGGTTTATTTTATGTTCATCTGCAATTTTTTTTGCATGCTGTGCTTGCTAAGCATCTTACTTGTTCATACTAAGCTGAGCTGTCAACATCCTAATTACATCTTACTTGCTGTATTTCCTTTATGAAGTGAACTGTTTCTGAGCATTTCAATTTGTAATATAGCATTACTTCTCTTAGACTCTGCCACATGTTACCATAACCAGTTAAAAAATGAAAAATCAGTGTAACAGCTACTTACAGTGTCAGCCAATTGGGGTGATTTTAAACATCGAGTAGAGTTTGTCAGTTCATGAAAATTCAGGAAGCCAGCTGGGTAAAATGGTAAAATGAGAGTATTTATCTAAGAGTGAAAGATTTGGGTTCTGTTCCTGGACCATCATTTCCTGGCTCTTGTGTGATCTTGGATGGGTGTTTTAGCTTTCCTATCCCACGTGAAATGAGCAGAATCAACTTGTCATGATAACTTCACCAGGTTATTGAGATCATTAAGCATAAAAATGTATGTTAAAGTGCTTTGTAAGCTTTAGGTGCTTAAATAAGCCTAATTGATATTATTAAATCAGCTGGTTGTTACGTAAGCATGTGGATAGGGTCTTTGAGTTGTTAATAGACACTGAATCATCTTGTGAAAGATGATTCATCCGTCCTAATGATTTGCCTCTGACTAAATTAATAAGAGATGATTTCTAAAAGATCAAAATAGTTATTTTCTAAGATGTTGATCTTAAGCACTTAAGGATATACTATGAATATCCCTAGTTTCCCTTACTTACAAATTTATCTAAACTTTATCTTTTCTTAACCATTTCCAAGAGAATTAAGCTCTAATGCCTTAAGCCTTTGTTTATAAAATGGAACTTCTCTCTTAAGTATTGGGGGAATTGAGAAAATAGTCACTCAAATTATTTCCTGTACTCTGGTTCAGAGGAACTCCAAATACAGGATTCCCAAGGGTAGCCGATGTTAGTTCCCTAGTGGCTGTGCTTGTAAAATAGTAGGCTTGACTTAACTCACCTGAGAACCAAAGTGGTCTCATCATGAGTCATATTAGAACAGTTTACTCTCTCTTTTCCTAATGCTCTCTCCTTTCCACCATAGAGAATACCTTTTGGTTCTGTTGGAATTTGAATAGTGACCCTGTGTGTTACTCATATATTTTGTGATTTATTTTTATTTTTTATTTTTTAAAAGATTTTATTTATTTATCTTAGAGGGTGGGGGAAAAGCAGAGGGGGAGGGAGAGGGACAAGCAGACTCCTTGCTGAGTGTGGAGCCCGAGAATGAGGGGCTCAGTCTTGATCTCAGGACCCAGAGATCACAACCTGAGCTGTAACCAAGAGTCAGATGCTCAACTGACTGTGCCACCCAGGCGCCCCTGTGATTTTTTTTTTTTTTTTAAACAGCAGCCAGATTTCCTCGCTTTTGCCTTTATAGAATGCATAATGTTTTTTAGAGCTTATTCTCATCAGAGGCTTCTATCCCCCAACCAGTCTAGTTAATTTCCTTCTGTCCTTTCAGTGTGAGGTATGGGAGTAGTGCTCTAACCTTGAAGAGTGCCAGGGGCTGATAGTCCTTAACTTTATTTAAGTGATGGGACAAAGTAAGGCTGATCTACTTCATTTTTTTCTAATTCATAATTTGTTGCTGCTTACTTAGTTCTCATATAGATCCACTGAAGTGTGAGAAAATAAAATGCCCTAAAATTTTGGCAAATACTGGTTTAAAGTCTGTTTTCTCTAAAACATTATAAAGCCTATATAATCCTACTGTATGCTGTCACAGACAGTCTTTTAGGTTATCTTGTAGAAAAGACAGCAGAAACAAAGCTTTACTCTCAGTACTGAATCTGGTAGATCTCTTTCAGTAAGATCAGGGTCAAGGCAGTAAGTACCGTTGTGGTACGTGTACTTGCAGAAACCAGGGCTGGAAGCATTTCATGCTTTGCTTCTGCAGTGTGGCAAAGCAAAGAAATGGTCTTTTCTTTTCTTTTTTTTTTTTTTTAAAGATTTTATTTATTTATTTGAGAGAGAGAGAGAATGAGAGACAGAGAGCATGAGAGGGAGGAGGGTCAGAGGGAGAAGCAGACTCCCTGCCGAGCAGGGAGCCCGACGCGGGACTCGATCCCGGGACTCCAGGATCATGACCTGAGCCGAAGGCAGTCGCTTAACCAACTGAGCCACCCAGGCGCCCAGAAATGGTCTTTTCTGACTATCACTTAAAAGTACTTGCTCTCTTTACTTTTAAACCTCTAACCTCTCATGACTAACATTATATCTTAATTGCATTTGAACATCAATGAGACCTCAGTTAGTACTTTGCATGGATTCTAGTTAGTCTGGAGGTTAAGGGATAAATATGTCCTTTTGGTGTTTTCTTTCTGGCTGACACATTAGTTTATTCATTCTGCTTCAAATGAATAAGTTTCTGTGCCAGCCAGGATCTTAACAAATGAAGCTGGGTAAGTATCTGATTTTTTTTTTTTTTCTGAAAAATCTTTTTAGCAGCATAAAAGTAAAGCAGTGAAATTTTAAGGTATCAGTTACCATTTATCTTTTTTTTTTCTGTAAATGGATAACTGAGATTAATAGTCATTTCTCAAGTTTGACTTCTAGAAAATAACTGTGTGTGGGTACTGCAGCCATGGTTGGCCCTAATCTCACCCTCTCCCATTCACGGCGGTGAGTTGGTGGAAATGAAACCACTCTTGCTTTGTGGTAACAGATAACTGGTGTATGTTAACACACTGAAACAGTAACTCGTCTTTTCTTTTAAAACTATACCTGTTCACTGGATGAGTAATTTTGTTTCACAGATGCAGCATTTAAAATCCTGAACCCTATGACTGTTCCAAGATTTTTTAGGCTGAATAGCAACAATGCCTTGATAGAGTTCTTGTTGGAGGTGAGAAGGAGTCTGTTTCATTGGTGGTGGGAGATAAACGGCATTCTTTACATATCTGGTAATTTCTAGGCACATAAAAACAGGAGGAAATTGTCATCTTCTTTTTAAGGGTACGCCTGAGATAAGAGAACATTATCTTGACTCTAAAAAAGATGTAGACCGTCATCTGAAATCGGCCTGTGAGCAGTTTATTCAGCAGCAGACCAAGCTGTTTGTAGAGCAGCTGGAGGAGTTCCTGACAAAGGTATAGACCTTGGTGCATATTTGGTAAAGTAATTTTCAATTCTTCCTTCAATTTCCTTTTGAATTACCCTCTTGTGAAAACTCTGGCAGGAGCTAGTAAATAGTAAGCCCAAATCTTAATGATTCCGTCTAGGAAATCACCGTGTTTCCTATTATGGAAGCTTTCTGGTTTGGACTTTTAGATATGCTTGCACAGTTTTCAGTTTTTAAGAGAAAAAGTGCAAATATTGTCTCCTCACTAACATCCATCCAGGTGGCTAATGCCAGGAATGAAAAAATCAGATCATGGCTATTTTGACTTTCCTGTTTCAGCCTAATTTTTTTTTTTTTAAATACTTAAGTACCGTTACTAAGGACTTTACTTCATAAAAATGTTTAAAAAGTCTTGAAATTTAAAAAAACAGTCTTGAGATGAGCTTTCATTTATTAAGCCTCTACTGCCTGTCTGGACTTGTATTAGAGTATATTATAAAAAGGATAAAAATATGACAGCCTTTTCTCTCAACTTTACTTACCTAAGTCCTAACTGGGGAGACAGGTTGTATCTCTGAAATGACCAGGGGACAGCTACGCAAATTGTCTGTTAGTAATTTTTTGCTGGGGCCATCAATATGCCTGAAGCCTATGATACTTGTTCAAAAGATAGAAGATACTTGTTTTTAAAAATAGTAATAAATACCAAAAAAAGCAAATATAGAAATGTTAAAGTAGTTAAACTACCCTTTTATCATTGGCATATAGTACTTGTTTATGGGGTTTTAGTCCATTCAGACAAGTATTTGGAGTGGGTGTGTGTGTTTTTCTTTCCCTGCCACATAAATTTAAAAGGGGGGAGTGGTGGTAGAAAGGTTTCCTGCTGGGTTTTGATTTTTAAAAAATGGCACAAGTTATCGATACTTTGTAATTTACAGGTAAGTCCATTACAGTTTTTACTGAAATTGTCCTTACAGGAAATCTGTAGATTGTGGTATGTATTTTTGGGAGAGCATCCACATTAGTGCTGGTGGGAAATATTGTAGATGAGTATTCTGCAATAGCAGAGCTGCAGAATGAATCATCTGACATAAGCAAGTTGATTATAATGAAATCTAGGATTAAAGGTTTTTTCTGGAAAAGCACAGTCAAGAAGTCAAGAGAATGAAAATTCACTGATGTAGCTGTCCAAATTGATGGTAGTGTAAGTTTGGTAAATCTGGTATAACTCTATAATTATGCATTTTGGAAGGCTGTGGACACTATGAACATTTTTTAAAAATTAGAGATTTATGTAGAAAACATATATTCCAGGGCGCCTGGGTGGCTCAGTCGGTTGGGCATCTGCCTTCGGCTCAGGGCATGATTCCAGGGTCCTGGGATCGAGCCCCGCATCAGGCTCCCTGCTCAGCGGGGAGGCCTGCTTCTCCCTCTGCCTCTGCCTGCCTCTCCCCCTGCTTGTGCTCTCTCCCTCTCTGTCAAATAAATAAATAAAATCTTTAAAAAAACAAAAAACAGAACATGTATTCCAAGTCTGAATTATATAGTGGTTCTCCATGGAATGCTACACATCTACAGCGGGGACTCCTGTATAGCTGTTCACGCATCTCTCTCTATACCACTCCTCCCTGAGGGATCGGAGAGGGAAAGACTCTGCCTCTTGACATCATTGAGAAGTCAGTCCTGTCCCCCCTGCTTAGTCTGTGTTGTCTTTGCTCAGATCATTCACTGTTGCCTTGTTTTCTTTTTTCAAACTTGGTCCCTAAGTGCTCTTCAGAGTCCAGTCAAAATATTTAGTAGATAGTACAGCTTAGACGACTGAGCATCCCTTTCACATTATCTTATTCCAAATTCAGTCCCTTCCCCCATCCTGTTGGAGTAGAGTGAGTCACAGACAAAGACGCGCACACATCCACAGGGCATACAGAGTTCACACAGATATATGTGATTGTTTAAGACATTGCTTGTTAGAATTTGTGGACCAAGCCATTTTTCACTTTTTATCTGGTGGATGTTACTAGTATTCTGAATAGCAGAGACAGAATAAATGATTTTAAAACTTTAAAATGATTTTCTTTAAAGGTAAATCTGCAAGTGCAGAATCTTGTGCCTCTTTTATTATAGTTGGCATCTTACAAGGCAGCCCATGATTGTACCTTGATAAATGATTGCAAGAGAAGCGGCATCCATAGGTGCAGAAAGGGAACAGTTTTTCATCTTGGATTTGGATGTAGGCTTGTAGGTCTCAGTATTTTAACATTTGGATATAAGCCTCATCAACAAATGTTCTCAGCTGAGAACAATTTGGGCTCATTTTTAAAATATATGTGGGTTTGCATAATAAAACAAACTGTGTGTGAGTGTAGAGAACATTCTTGGGCTGTCTGAAGACTTGTTTTTGAGCCTAAAGACTCGGGGTGTGATTTTAGTCCCTTTTTACCTGCTGTAAATTGGCCTTTTGGTTATGTAGCTCCTTCCTGGATTCTCCTTGTTGAGATGCCTTGTTTTCATTAATTCTCATTATATCCCTGGCACCTAGAGTAAGTAAAACATCTTCATTTCAAGTTGGAGACACTAAAGTTATACAGAGTGACCCAATATACACAAGACAATCATTTCTACAAACTTAATCTGACTAGTGTAAACATCTTCCCTGATTTTTTGGTACAATTAATGAAGTTTCTTCAGAAAAATAAAATAAATTCTAGAAGAATATATATGCTCTATTGTCCTGTTTCCTGCTCCTTGAAAAATAACCTTTTCTCTAAGTATTTGACCCTAGGGAGTATAATATTGTTCTAAGTGTTGGGGGTAGAAGTTCATACGAAAATAATTTGGATCAAATATCTTCTGTTAAACTCAAAAACTGTTGATACTTTCTTTTCTTTCTTTTTTTAAAGATCTTATTTATTAATTTGACAGAGAGAGCACAAGCAGGGGGAGTGGGAGAGGGAGAAGCAGACTCCCTGCCGAGCAGGAAGCCCAATGCGGGACTTGATCCGTGGACTCTGGGATCATGAGCTGAGCCAAAGGCAGATGCTTAACTGACTGAGCCACCCAGGCACCCGAAAAACTGTTGATACGTCCTATTGTTTTAGAATTTCATTATATTGACCGTTGCTTGAAACAAACCCTGAAGTAGGGGTTGGACTGGTCATGGGTGTGGTAGAAAGAGCATAGAATTTTGACTCAGGAAAGCTGAGCTCTAGCCCCCCTTTGCCACCTCCTGAGTAAAATGGTAGCAAGGTAGATTCTCCAAGCCTTGCTTTTCTAATCTCTGCAGCAGAGATAGCTACTGTATCCCTCTTCCCAACTTAAGGTTATTATGAGGCCCAAAAGAAGATCATACATGTAATAGTACTTTAAATGCTGCAGAAATGTTATAGGAAAATACGACAAATTTGAAGTGTAGGTTTTGCTTTAACAACAAATCTGAATGAAAGCATTTTAAAGGAAGTACATTTCAAGTTTATAACTAAGCTAAAAGTGTTTCCCCCAGTTTATGCTGAAAAACTCAAGACTTGTATTTAGCAATATTCATTTTTTCCCAAGCAATTTACTGAAGTATTGCGAGTTTATTTGGGTTGGGGGTGGGGGAGGAGTGGAGGGAGAGGGAGAGAGAGAATCTCAAGCAGGCTCAGGGCTCTATCTCACAACCCTGACATGACCTGAACAGAAAATCAAGAGTTGGACGCTTAACCAGCTGAGCCACCCAGGTGCCCTACAAATTTATTCTTAATATTCCCTCTGAAGTGTTATTAATTTCCTCAGCAACACTATAAATTTAAATTTTTTCTTGATTGTAGTGCATGTAAGAGAATTTGACCTATAAATTTAATTTTTGTTCTCAAGGACTTTAATGGGAAATCAGGATAGAAAATATGTAAACATTATGAAGTGTACAGCAATGTCATCATGAGACAGTGGGTCTACTATGTTCATCTTGTAGAGTTTTTGAAAAAGATAGGGCTAATTGGGGAAAACTTTTGAAGAAAATGCTCCTTGCAGTTTGACTTAAAGGTAAGTATGTTACATAGAGAGTAAATAGAGATGGATATGTAAGTTTGTCTTTGTTCTTAATATAAAAATAATTAATACAGCCTAAACCTACAGCATATATATCATTATGATATTGGTTAAATTCTGGAACAATCAGTGGAATAATAGGCAACCATTACTAATAAAACATAACTGTTGGACACAGAAAAATGTCCAGAATTTAGGGTTAGGTGGGGAAAAAAGATGTCAGAGCACTGTGTTCCTATTTTTGTAAACGTAGACACATTAGTATGTTTATATATTTATGTTGGAAAAGATTTTGGATAATACATACTAAATGAACATGTTTTTCTTTTAGCATTGCCTAATCTATAATCGTATGAATGATTTGTTTTTAAAAGCTGCATCTCACAATACAAAGTAAAGCTATTGAGAGGGATAGACAATAGGAAAGGGGTGATTTTATACACATGACAGCATGAGCAAAGGCCTAGGGTAGTCCAGGAATGTGAGCTTACTTAACATTGTATTCTGTCTGTGCCCGTCTTCTGCCTAAATATTTTTGTGGCCTTCTTTAATCGGAAAGTGTTGGGTCTCAAATTTTTCTAATGAGACTATCTAGTGAGGCCAAGGTCACAGTTGGGACCTTTGGCACCTAACAATCCATTTAAAAAATGTTTTATGCAGTTTCTGTCCTTCACCTTCCCCAGCTACACCTTAGTTACCAACTACCCCACCATGATTTGCCATCTTGAGAACATCTTAAGAACAGACTTGTCCAAGCAGCCAAATGTACTTTTTTATGTTTGCTTCTCTGTACTGATGGCTGAGGAATGAAAGGGAGATGAATAAAAGATGGGCATCTGAGTCTACCTGTAGCAGTGGTTGGTCAAGTGTGCCTTTTGATGCTGTTTGAAAATCTTGTTTTCATAACATTCTCTCTGCCTGAAATATAATAAAGAAAAGGAATCTCTAGGTATGTAAAGGAGCTTTGTCCTGCTGGGGTGACATTTTTCTAACAGCATACAATAATAATTTAATGTTGACATAACAGTCCACTTAAAAAGGGACCTGTTTTTGTCTCCGTATTTTTCCTAGGTCCTCAGTTTTGTCTTCCTTCTCTAAAATGTTTCAGGCAGAATATCTCAGGACAGGGCGCCTGGGTGGCTCAGTTGGTTAAGCGACTGCCTTCGGCTCAGGTCATGATCCTGGAGTCCCTGGATCGAGTCCCGCATCGGGCTCCCTGCT